GTTACAGGTCACTGTGCACTAAGACAACCAGGCACAGGGACAGTTTCTTCCCCCAGGCTGTCGTTTTGCTGAACACTTGACCAATGATAGTATGACTGGACAATAACCCTCAGTGCAATACCTGTAAATATATACATTGTACAGATTATACAGATTCGTACAGGTCTCTAGTTCTTAAGTACTCCCTATTTATCTAATTTCAACGAGCATTCCTTGTTGTCTGCATTGTTTACTATCTGTTTATACTGCTTATTCTGCATTGCTTGCACTGTTTGTTGATGTTAATACTGCTATTTTGTTATATTACACAGCCTTACGCTAGTTTACTGTTTGCACATTGAGAGCCGATGTATCGGAGTCAAATTCCTGGTGTGTCCATCACACCTGGCCAATAAAACTGATTCTGATTCTGATAAGTAGGATGAAAATATCCATACAAAAAATCATTCCTTTGCCTTTATGGCCCAAATCTGTTTGTAGTTTCAGTAGTTACCCAAAAAAAGTTAAAAAAGCAGTTAAAGGTCTTGAATCACCATGCACTTATAAATGAAGTTGCACTACCCACAAGCTTTTGCAAAATGTAGTTAAACTACTACTTTAATTATCTGTACTTCACTACTCCCCAATATTTACTGATCTGACCTCATGATACAAAACACATCTGGTTTCCTGTCACTTCTGCAGGAGCAGGCTGCAGAGCTGAAAACTCACTTTATGAACTTTTAAACTCTTTAAATATAAAATGTCACTGTAACTGAGACATGGCAGCACTGAATTCAGAGAAATAAGGATCTATTTAAATACTAACTTTCATTACATTGAATTTAAGACACAATTTTAAATAAAACATAAAATGTAATATTGCCTAATTAATACAGTCAGCTTATCAATAAATAAATATGACTGGCACCTGGTTTTGTCAATAAAGTCTTCACCTTTGAAGGTATATTTATTTCCGTTTTTGTTTTTATCATCCATTGGTCTTTATTCCACCAACATGCAAATCATAGAGCAGAGAACACACAGCACAGATCAATAAATCAATAACTCTCTACAACCAGTCACAGATGGAACAGGATGGGAAGTGCACGCCCTGTTTTCTACTGTCAGATCACTGATCACATCATAACCCTCAGCAGTGGCATCACCAGACAGAAACCTAATAAACAAATGAAGCTGCTTCCCAGAGTGCTGCTGTGTGGATGATATCATCGTTACATCACACCATGATGCTGCGCATGTCACACACTGCAAAATGATACCACAACAAAATGCATCATGGGATGCCAAATGGCACTAAAAAAATCCAATAAGAGAAAACAAAAGTATCACGTGACTGTTGTCTCTTCTCCGAACTGAAAGTTCACAATAAATTAGAAAAACCACAATCTCTGGTTACCATAACGACTAACGAATCTGAGGCTGTGTTGTACAGAGCTGCAAAACACTGTTGGCCAAATACATAGGAATAAATATGTAGAAGATACTGAAAATGAGAATACAAATCAGAATTCACAGAATTAAAAAATGTTGAATTAAAAAAAAAACGGATCAAACACATCGCTGAAATTAAACAAGGGTTTAAAAAGTAAAAGTAAAATAACGACAAAATATAATAAAGGCAAAAAATATCTTAAATATAAAACATGCCTATGAAATAGTTTAAGAATCTTGAAAGATTGAATTTTTTTCTGTTTAAGAAGCAAAATAAATCAAATATAAAAATTAGTTAAAGTGTTTTAATCTCCACTGAACCAAGTTTAAAGATATGGATGAGAGTAAATGTTTACAGCAGGCTGATCTGATCAGTTGGTAGGAAACAGTAAGAACTACAAATAGATAAAACTAACAGAGCTGTCGATCTTTTATCCATGAAGAAGATAAACAGCTGGCTTGTTAGTGTCTTCTCATTAGTAATGCAGAGAGAGCGCCACCTGCTGGACAAGCTGGGCTTATACTCACAGACTATATTTTTCCCTTAGTTGCAGGTATGTGTGTGCATACATTTGTTGTTAACACTCTTTAAATTGTAGCTCCACACTTATATAAACGTATTAGTTATAGTCAGACACCATCCTTTATTTGCAGATAAATATGCACATAACTTTACAGTAATTGTGACAGACATAATTGAGATGTATTTATTTATTTTGTATTTAGTTGAGGTTCCATACGTTTGTGTTATTATTGCAGTTACTGTGGGGACATGAATCAATTTGTTGCCCACACAGGTTTGTAAGTGTGTCATAAGAGGAAATCTGTGATGTACCCCCCATATTGTTGTAGTTATGTGTGTACATAAAGTTGCTATATGCCTCATACACAAATGTGTGACGTTGGTGACTAGAACAGTAGAGAGGTCTCAAATGTCCCCGCTCAGGCTCCGCCTCCAGCAGGTTGAACAGAATCAGCAGCAGTTAATGAGAATATTCAACAAATAATACTGACTAATCAGAATAAAATAGCTAAGTCATATTATAAACTTGTTTTGCGTGTTCTTTTCACAATTTTCCAGACTTTTTGGAAAATCTTGTTTTCCCCACCAGGTTATCACCCCCCAGAACCTTAATCCTGGAATGTTATTGGTGTTTTGCCTCTTCGGTTAGATTCAGGTTTTGCTTGGATCAGGACTGATACGGGGTCTGTTACCCTTGTCTTCTCAGTCGGACCACTCCTGGTCCTCGGGTTCAGACTCTTCCTCTGATTCACTGTATTCAACGGCAATGCGCCGCGACAGGATGGTGGCGACGTCATTTCCTGTGGGCTCTCGTTTCTTGGCCTCCTCCTGCTCACGCTGCTCCTGGACCTTTCTCAGCTGGATCCCTGCAGACCGGTAGAAATCAGAACCTCAGGAACATACTTAGACTATAGTATGTGTGATTCTAAGAGTCCAGAGACAGCAGGTTATTTTGGCAGTAACAAAGATGATTGAACGTTTCTGTGCTTAAAGCTGAAATCAAAAACTTTATCCACGTAGTTTAATTTATTTAAGTCACTGTCATAAACTGTATATAAAAGATGGATGATTTTAATTGCATAGTGGCTTCCCTCCACTATGCAAAAGTGAAGTCAAAATATTGTGCATATGGCGGCGGCCATCTTGGCCACAGAGTAGTTGAGTGGCATATCAGACACTAATCAAAGCTGCCAAACCACCTGAAGTACAAGCCTTTTTATATAATCAAATAGGTTATTAAAAACAAAAACCAGAAAAACGACCACTTGTACACACATCAGTGTGGTAATATCTACCAAAATCCAGAGAAATTTAATTTGTACTTTGAGTGTTTAAATTTGGCTCATGTCGCATCCACTAACATTTCAGTGGTCCGTATACAAAACACCACTGGTGTCAGGTGCACTGTGTTCTCTGAGACAGAAAAAACTGCCATTATGACTTAGCATGCTAGCTATTAGTAGGTCAAAGTCAAAGTGTTTGTCATTTGCACAGTTAGGAAACGTGTTTCCCTGTACAATGAAATTCTTACTTTGCCGTCCACATGAATGCCACAAAATACAAATGAAATATAAAGTAGATAAATAAGTAACACAAAATCTAAGGCACTTTAAGCAGCAAATGCAGCAATATAATAAAAATATATAAGAATATACAGTAATAAGAGAATGTATGCTTCATGGGAGCAGCTAACTGACTTGGTACTAATGCGGCACATAGGCCCAGAACGTTACTAATTGATTAGCAGCTGACCTCTGCGTATGGCAGCCAGCAAGTCACTGCGGGCATCGTTCATTGGGACGTTAGGTCCGCCCGGAGGCTTCCTGACGTCTGTCGTTGGGGGTAACGGGGGTGCAGCCGAGGCTGAGGGGAGGAACAGGCCTCCC